CTGAAGGTTCTGGGTTCCAATCCTATTGGGTGCAAACTGTCGAAGAGTCTCGAACTAGGACTGAACAGCCGCCTGGTACTCTCTGCTCTTCAGTGGTGCTCTAACTACTAATATCAATCCATAGTCAGATTTGCAACTAAAAAGGCTTTAAAAAGGGTTTGTGTAACAATTACTGTATTAGCCTACTGACAGACTTTTATCATCACTTGACATAAGGTTGATGAGGCTCACGTAGCTGAAATCTGCATATAAGAGATATTTTGACTATGGTTCACTTTGGTGTCAGTTAACTGATGATGGCTATCAGAGTGGTTTCCAAGAGGTGCTTTTTATCCTACTTGAGGCTTGGCAGCTGGATGTACCTGCATTTTCAGATGGGTGATGATGCCTCCATTGAAACTCAAGCCCTTCACCCATCATCATTTAAAACGCCAAAGTATTATCCAACAGGCCACCAGAGCTACATATTTTGCCATGGGTATCACGCTATACTGAAAGTCAAAATACCAAATCGTAATAGATTCGATGGTAGTACATTAATTTTAGTTCCAAAATAAAATTTAGCATGGAAGGTTCAATATGATTGCAAAGTGTTCATGATTGTACGAAGGAGTCTGGCCTAAGGATAAGTTTGGAAGAAGAAGTATACATATCTATTTTGATGTCTTATTTTGAAATCGAAGAGATTGGCTGTCTATTTTCTCCATTAATTATGTCTGTGAATTCAATCTTCACTTAAGAATATGCTCTAAAGCCCTCACTAATAAAGGTTGATGAGTCCTGCTTGTACAACTAAGACAAAAACGCTATTCACATAAATTAATTCTTGCTATTGCTGCGTTGAATTCCACTAGTTCGTATGAAGTTGTACTCTATCATCAACATAGACACTTTCTGTTTATTCATTTTTTTATTACAGCTTGATTCCACACAGTATTTTGGTACAAGTATGAAATTTTCAGCTTGTGATGTCGGTAGCCCAAATTTAGCCGGCCGACCATAGATATCAGGTGTGCGTTGGCGGGGGATCGAACCTCGGACCATGTGAATGGTCGGCGAAAGTCCTAACTGTTGTGCCATCGAAGCCCATCAGTGTGAATCGAGATTATTTTTTATCGAGCTGCTTTCGCTAACTTACACCGTCTCTGACGTAGGCATGACATCCGGCTATCAACCAAGGGACGTGTGCACTGCTCAGCAGTTCGCTCCGTTCTTCTCTATGGCTCTGAATCATGGCCAATACGAGTTGAAGACATGAAAAGGTTGACTGTTTTTGATCATAGATGTCTTCAATCTCTTTCTCACGTTAGTTGGCATAATAAGGTAAGTAATGTTGACGTTAGGCATAGAGTGTTGGGCAAAGAGGGAAAATCAATCGACGAGGCTATAAAGTTACATAGATTGAGATGGCTAGGTCACGTGCTGCGCATGCCTAACCATCGCCTCCCCCGACTGACGGGCATTACTAACTTATATAGGTGCAGGTTGGAAAAGAGTAAGTGGGGGCCAAACGAAAACATGGCATCAATCCATGAAATCCTTGACAGTTAAACTGAGTCAGGTAGGGAGGGAGATGCAGACTTCCGGGTTGGGGCCCGCCCTCGGGACTCTAGGAATCAATGGCTGGAGACAGACACTAGGTGACATGGCTCGAAATCGTTGTCAATGGCTTACGCAGATGTATTCAGTCTCTGTAATCTTTCATATTCCTTTCTACCATTACTCATTCTGTTTCACTCCTATACTTGTCAAAACTCTATTGATTCTCTTCACTCATTTCCCTGTCTACCTTTGTGTGCACTTTGGAACGTGGCAACTGGAACTGCTGCACTTCGGTGGTAAGTTCTATGTTGAATCCATATAGACAGATTATCACGGATTGGTATCAGTTAGAGAACCATTGTAAACTATAAGGGAATACTGGACATCTGTCTCATCCTAGCTTGGGACTCATCATCAGCACTGATTCGTCAGGTTCTGGACTCAGGATGTTCCAGTTACAGCGAAAGCCACTGAGGCTAGTCGATGAAATTGTTTGCTGGTTGTGCTAAAATCACGAATTGGTAGAAGTTAGAATTCATGGGCCTGCCATTGAATCGGGTCCCAGTGGCTGAATGGTATACGAGCTCGCCTTGTAACTGGAAGTTACTGGGTTCGAGAGCCACCTGTGGTGGGTGGTCACTGTCGATGAGTCCCAAACTGGGACAGTGGGAACAGCTGTTCAGTACTCCCTGCTAGTTTCCAGTTCTTTTCTGACTGATTTCAATCTGTGGTCAAAGTCAACAAGCAAATCTAATCCTTACAAGCCAACTCTTGAAAAGAGATTTATTTATCATAATCTCAAGCAGTGATAACTGTTTTTGATGCAGTTTAAAAATTAAAACAAGAAACTGTTTTAAACTGTTTTGTTTTTACATAATGTCCTTTTTTATGACGCAATTAAAAACAAAAGGGTGGTAGTTTGGTAAATTATGAGAAAAAGTTCCCAATGGTTGAGAGGTATTCACCCTTGATGTTCCACAGATTTATAGAACAGTTATCCTTATTCTCCATGGAATTGCTTCCATATTGCACCGATTGCCCTTAATTTACTGTTTTCCTTTGTTTTCATGTGTGATCTTATGAGATGTGAGGTCTTTAGCACTCCCTTGCAAAGTTCCATGTTGAAAATCCAGTCCATTTCAACAAAACGTTGACAACAATTCTCTATATTTTTAAAAGCAGTTGTACACATTTCTTGGATAATGCCAGTAAACCTCATATCAATCATAGTATTACATATTTCATGACATCACTGGAACATTTTGATGAAAAGGAAGGAGTTAGAATTTACAAGTTATTCAATCTCCAACTTCAATGGTTGGATGACAAATCGACTTGACTTATCACCTAAAAAATCTAGTTTTGATAGCTAGTGATGTCATTTGAGTGCACTGCTGGTTAGTCCTAGCAGTTTTGGCGGAACTTCTGTTTATTAGTTCTTGTTTTTCAGTGATTGTCTTCTTGAATCTATATCCAAACTAGTGTGAAGCCATTTGTTCCACTTGAAAGGTAAAGGAATAAGAAAACTACCTTGCGTTCTGAAGGAAACACTAGACTTCAGTAGGACATTTCTTTAAACAGAGGTGATCAAGATTCCTGACCAACAGCAACACCAACAACAGACAACAGTCAGCATAAATGGGAGGAGTCTGAAAGAAGCGACCTCCTTCACCTACCGACCTACCTATCCACATACCTTGGAAGCATCGTTTCAACTGCAGGCGGACGGAACTGATGAGGATATTGAAGCGAGGATCGGGAAAGCAAGGCAATTCTTCATTACTCTCAAGTCTGTGTGGGGGTAAACAACACTCATCATCATACATCATGAAGAGCACCTCGAACTCTACACCTTCATCGACAGGTGTCTTCGCTCAATACTTCACTCAAGATCTGATGAACGACCAGAAAATATCAGCAAGAGGGAGGCATCTCTGACAATGGAGGAACCAACCCAGTAGGAACCAACTGTGCAACAAGTATGCAGGAAGAAATGGAGGCGACAAACCATCAGGTGAGTGAAATCACACACCAGGCCATCAGTCGACTGGAAACTGAATAAGAAGAGGCAAACTAGTCGTCAGTGCGAGGGTGACATGGAGTGGAGGAAGTGATGCGAAGAGGAGATGAAAGCCAATGGACAGGCTCGAAGCCAGGTGAAAACGTTGGAGGAGAGCCGAAAGCAATTAAGACGTACGTGGCTGAAGCCTTATGTTCCTCTAGAAACTAAAGGAAACTAATGATTTCAGTGGGATGAAATTCTGAGAAGAATTGTAATATTAATAACCGATAATATCTATTCAGTGTGAATTATCATGATACATTATTATTAGGAATTGACAAAATCTAATAAACGTACTCTAAAATGTTTTTTGGCCATATTTACAATTTTATTCTCTGTGGCTTTCTTAAAACTTGAACTACCGAAACTCCTGCACCGCTGTATCGCATATAACTCCACCTGTTCACTTGATTATTTATCGATTAAAATATGACCTCTCATGGTAGGATTTACTCTCGTAAGTACTTGAAGTGTTTATCATAACCGGCTGATTTGCAAGTTTCTGTAAAAGCTGAGAAAAAACGCATAGATGAGATAACTGCTCCTGAGTTATGTCCTGGAGTCTCGAAATATGCTCTTGAACATTTTATATAATTGGCTTTCAACCAAAATATCGTGGATTTGTCGATGGAGATAAAGAAGCCGTATCAGAATGGATAGGTTTGCACTCTAGATATTATTATTATTGTTTCCTTTAATTGCTAGAGGAACATAGGGCTTCAGCCGTGCGTCTCCATTGCGTTCGGTTATCTGCTAGAGTCTTCACCTGGCTCCAAGTCTGCCCACACGTTTTCATCTCCTCTTCACATGACCTCCTCCAAGTCACCCTCACACCGACAACCAAATAACTCGCCGCTTCCCTTTCAGGCTCCACTCGAGGAATGGCTTGTCTAGTGATGTCACTTGATGGTGTCCTCAGAGTATGACCAATCCATCTCCATTTCTTCCTGCCTATTTGTTTCACAATCGGTTCCTGCCGTGTTGGTTCGCTCATTGCCAGAGATCTCTGTTGCTGACCTTTTCTGGCCGGCCATCTGATCTTGAGTATTGAGCGAAGACAACTGCAAATGGAGGTCTGTAGTTTGCTTGGGATGCTCTTTATGACGCGCAGTGCAAGTCTGTGATCCGTAAAGTGAGTAGCACTGACTTCACATTGGAGTTGAAAATCCGGATCTCTAGATAAGACAGTATGATATCATGCAATAAACTTTGCTAAAAATTCTCTGCCTTATATAGGCACTGTCTACAATAAAGCTATTGTTATTATTATTCTAGGTGTATTGTTTCCTAAGACAGATGTATTAGCATTAGGTCTTTTAAATATCAATCGTTTCGTTGTAATAATCAGTCGGTCATTTAACAATAAACCTTTTTCTATGTTTAAATATCCTTATAGTTTATGCAATCCAAATCATAAAGAAAATCTTGGCATGACTGTTCAATATCGTGTAAAAGTTCGACTGGTTCTGGGATTTGTTTCAAGGTGAGAATCTATATATATATATATATATATATATCATTCTACTAGCATTTTTTCCTGTCTGATGATACGATCATGTGTGACAGCTTTCAGTTGACAGACTATTGTTTGTGATTGTAGCGGGTGACAGTTGAAGGTAATTTGGTGGAAGGATTTAAACCAGCGGCCTTTGGATTATCATTCTGCTAGTTAGAAGAGTCCTGTCGCTATCAAAATGTTTTTATTTCACCTACATTCATCAGCGGTTACTTGAATAACAGTCTGCTAATCCAAAGGTCGTATAGCGAAGGAAAGAGATGATGGAGGTAACCAACCAGCAACAAAAAACACCAATCACCATCAACGGATGAAATTATCTAGGCAGGATCGTGTCAACTACGGCCGACTTCGCAGATGAGGAAGTCAAAACTGCAGTCAGAAAGTAAACGTAGACCTTCATCAGTTTTAAATATGTCTGGAAATCTTTTACGCTAAGTGTAAACAATGAAATTCGGATTCACGGAGTTGTTGCATTTGGGACAGGCCACTACAGACTTTTATCTACAACTGCCCACTATGCTGGCTGCATATTGAAGATCATATGGCCAGCCATAGAGTATAAGCAACAAGAAACTCTGCAGTGAAAAAAACCAGTCAAGAACTTGTCACTCAACAAATATGTAGGGAAGCCATGACCAGTAGGGTACAGCAGGTTGAAGATGAGGCAGTAACTCATCTAAGAAGACATTGCGAAATGGTCGCGCTATGTCGTGAATTGGCAGAAGTTAGAATTCAAGGACCACTGTATCGGGTCCCAGTGGCTCAATGGTCTACGAGGTCGCCTTGTAACCAGAAGGTCCTGGGTTTGAATCCCGGTGGGCGCGTACTGATGAAGAGTCCCAAACTAGGACGAAGCAGCTGTCCAGTACTTCCTGCAGGTTTTCCAGTGGTTCTCTAACTGATGTCAGCTCATGATGAAATCTTCCATGCAAATATGTAGGAGAAAATAGAGATGGATTGGACGCAAACTGGGAAGACCGTCAGTTGGCATCAGGCTCTAGGTCGCCTCTCGAATGTGAACAACGAGTAGGGCGTTTGAGGGTGGAACGAAGAAGACAAAAGCCTATGGGCGACCTGAGGCTAGCTGAAGATGACTTCAGAAAGGGGAACAAAATGAAGACATGTTGTTGAAGCTTTGTATTCTCTTGGAACCCAAGGGAATAACAGTAACAATACAATGATTTAAAGATCGTACACTTAATGTCCCAAACCAACTATAAATTATGGTTGAAATTTAAAATTACCTTATGAACAACACAGTTTACATGGTTATGAGCCATTTTATCAGGCGAATCACGTATACGGCACCACTAATGAAGTATGAAAGTCATCTCACACTGAAAATGTAATTTCCAAAACTAACTCATATTCTACCTCCTGCTGCTGTTGTCACCGACTTCGTCCCCACTATTCCACATAAATAACTGAATGGCTCATTTTATGTTACTTGAAGGGTAACCAGTTGATTATCAATGTATGCCTTTTAGGAAAACCATTATGCCATGTCCTGTGTGTAGATTCTTGTCATTAGTACACATGAAGATACTTTTCAATGTAAGACAAAAATTATAATAACTTGCGATGAAGACTGTTTATGGGTTAATAAAATATCGAGTGAATAAGAGGAGAATAAGATTATCGCCTCCAATGTTTCTTTGTTGTTGTAATGCTCATAGTGAGATCGATTAGTCACTAGGGAGTGATCAGGGTTGCGTTCCTATTTCTTACTGGCACTAGCAGAATTTTATCAGTCAAGTTTGCCATATGGTCACCAGCCTATAATACTACTACTACTAATGTTGTTGTTCCCTTGTCTTCCAAGTGGAACATGCGACTTCCACAGTACATCTACACTTAGTCCTATTCTCTGAGGTCCTCTTTAGCTGGAGCTGTGATTGCTCATAGTCTCCCTTATATCCTGCTCACACGGTCTCCTTCATGACACCTTTGAAGTGAAGCCGAACCCATCGTTTCCCGTTCGGATTTACAGTTGAGGTTGTACCTGTAGGACGATGTCACCTGACGGTCTCTTCAGAGTGTATCTGATCTATCCCCTTTTGTTGAGCGAAAGGTTGTCGAGTGAATGCTTCCCAGAGTTTCTTGCTTCTAATTACTTCTTTCTCGTTGTCTGATATTTAATACGTAGCCAGTAAATTGGGCAGATGTTGGTAAAAATCTGCAGTAGCCAAGTTCTTGACCCAGTTAGAGGAACTGACGTAGTGTTGGTGTTGAAAAAATTCGTCACCAGTCTAGGAGAATGTGAATCGTGGTGCACTTTTCGAATTAGTGTTAGACAGTTGTAGGCAATCGTAAAGACCCCTCGGACTTAAGCTGTATGCTTATTGGCAACGTGTTTAACTACACACCACAATGAATGATGCGGCTTTTGACCTCCGTGGAGGTTTCAGTCTTCGTCAAGCTTGCAGATATGCATCGCAGACCATCGGCAATAAGCACAGCTTTTTCGGTGATTTTAACGATCCATCTTTGATAAACAAACGTCAGTTAAATTGATCAAATGAATTTCACTTTTTCACTACAGTCATTGTATCAATCTCTTTTACTACTATAAGATGTGAAGATATTTTTAGTGAATTTTTGAAATTTATGTTACAATGTATTGAATTAAAGTTATATTCCCTTGAGAGTAAGTGAGAGAGAGATTTGAAAATTTCCTTTTATTCTGTTGTTGACAAAAAAACTAAACTCATTGTCATAAAAATAAGCCGATATATGAAAACAAAGTCCCATTGGACTGGAGCATATTGACAGTTAAATAATAATTGAAATGGTTGCTTTAAGCCAACATGTGATTCTCCTATTGTCTGATGAAATTGCGTGCATCAAAAACAATCACATGTAGAAGTATAATAAAAAAAATTACGCATAGTTATTGAATCAGTGAAAACCAGGGTTTCGCGGCGGGGGGGAAGGTTAACTGGATAGCTATTTCATCCTAGTTTCGGACTGGCTAAAAACCCCAGAGTTTGAGTATAAATTTCTAGTTCTCCAGTGGCTATCTGATGGATGTCCAGAAGTAGTTCTTTTTAGGGAATGACCTCGTTTGATAGTATGGGCTTGTGATAGATCTATATCGTCAATTTATAGGAGTTAGAATTCATGGTCTGTCCTTGTAACCTGAAGGTTCTACTTATGATAAATGGTGAGATCATGGATATTCGCCTCTGAAAAGACCCAAGCTCCACTGAAACTAATGTTAACTGCTTCATAGTCTTCAATAGTTAGCCCTCTAAATGTTGTCTGTTCTTGAAAAAATCCATATTGACAGATTAGTGAATTATTATTATTGTTTCCTTTAATTCCTAGAGGAACATAGGGCTTCAGCCGTGCGTCTCCATTGCGTTCGGTTCTCTGCTAGAGTCTTCCTCTGGCTCCAAGTCTGCCCACACGTTTTCATCTCGTCTTCACATCACCCTCACACCGACAACCAAATAACTCGCCGCTTCTCTTTCAGGCTCCATTCGAGCAATGGCTTGTCTAGTGATGTCACTTGATGGTTTCCTCAGAGTATGGCCAGCCAATCCATATCCATTTCTTCCTGCTTATTTGTTTCACAATCGGTTCCTGGTTGGTTCGCTCCAAAAAAATCTGAATCCTGATAATTAGTGTGTTGCTGTTTTTTCATTCCTTTACATTCCCAGTGGAGCATGGGGCTACAAGCTAGAGGCTTGAAGTTTCTGTAGCACTGGTGATTATTTTTACAGGATGAGGTTACTGCTAGCCTCATGCCCGACTTTCCCTCTCTGCCAGTCCAGTTACTGGCTTAACGAGGTGAAGGAGTGCGTCTGTTGCCTGGGGTTGAACCCCGTACCACCTGCATGGCTGGCAAACATCCTACCGCTGTGCCACTGACGAACTTTTTCACCTATAGATAAATACAAATGGAGTGTTGCATTGTACATATATATACATGCATGTATCTTTTTTCTTCAGTGATGTCAGCGTTGAACTACCGTTTACACTTACTCATCCAAAACCTGATCCAGAAACTGATGGAGGTCTGTCTAAGATTGCTGATGTTGATGAAGATGCAGCGCATACTTCACCATCATTATCATCTGAATCAAATAATCCATTAAAGTGTGGGACAAATGAAATGAAGGCATCTCATCAACAGTCAAGTAAACAAGCTTCATCTAGTCAAAATGTAAATATTATTGATGATTTAATTAAATTAGACGATGGAACAAATGATAAGTAAGTTCATTATCATTATTATTGTTATTTATTTTCACTTGCATTCATTGTTTCTTGAAGTTATTTTGAGAGGTGGTCCTTCTGGTCCATTTGCGTTTAAAACTACGTATCCAAGTCTCAGAGAGAACATCACCATCATTCATTCATTCATTGAGTATGCTGGTGATGATCTTTCTGACTAGTCCAAAATTGGATGAAAAAATCATCCCTAATTTCTCTCTACTAGATACCACTAACCAGCCTACCAAAAAGTTAAGGCATTCAGGTACTATCATAGACCCTTGCAAAATAGGTTGGCTCGTTGCCAACTTCATGCGTATACAAATGGTTATTGATTGACAAATAATATTAAAATGTGTTATTTTCATATTTAATTACCTAATTAATTTCAATAATTTTCAAGTACTGGTTTTGTGTGGGGGATTCTGGCTTCATTGGTTGAAGGATTTCATCATGAGCTGACATTAGTTAGAGTACCATTAGAAAACCGCGCAGGAGTATTAGATAACCAGCTGTTTCCTCAATCTAGTTTTTGGACTCTTCAACAGCACGTCCTCAACACAGGGGTTCGAACCCAGTACATTCCGGTTACAAGGTGAGTGAGCTCAGTCATTGAGACATGACTAATCCTCTGGCCAACCCATGAATTTTAACTTCTGACAATTCATGACATAGCGCAACAACTTCGTAATGTCTTCTTCGATGAGTTACTGAATCACCTTCAACCTGCTGCACCGTACTAGTCACGGCTCTTCCCTAGAACCCCAGGTTAACTTCCTAAATAGGGTCAGTCGCTAGTGAGCATCAGATTAATTTTCAACTTTTAACCTTGGCCATACTCTGAGGAAACCATCAAGTGACATCACTAGACAAGCCATCGCTCGAGTGGAACCCGAAAGGGAAGCGGCGAGTCGGTCGTCAGTGCAAGAGTGGGTGACTTGGAGGAGGTCATGTGAAGAGGAGATGAAAACGTGTGGGCAGACTTGGAGCCAGGTGAAGACTGTAGCAGAGAACCGAACGCAATGGAGACGTGCTTGGCTGAAGCCCTATGTTCCTCTAGTAATTAAAGGATACAATAATAATAATATAATAATAACCTTGTAACGAGAAGTTCTTGAGTTCGAACCCTACAGGTGAGTGCGTACTGATGAAGAGTCCCTAACTAGGCTCACGAAACAGTAGTCCATTACTTTCTTAAGGTTTTACAATGGTTCTCCAACCTATGTCAGCTCATGATGAAACCCTTTAACTAATTCAAATGACTCAGTGAGTCATTTATTTAGAATAAGAATTAAGACTGCGAACAGTTGTGGTTTCATTAATTTCCGTCCTATAAACAAAAAAATATATGAATCAAAATTATATCAGAAACTGTATTAGGGCCCAAGTAGAGGAAAAATAATAACACTCCGGCGGTTTTGAGTACCATTTAAATGTATATATAAAATGTATAGTCAACAAGAACATAAAACAAAAGGTAAAAGAGATTAAACAACTGAATAACCCACTTGTATTGTGAGCGAAACGAGAACGACAAATCACTCAAAGTAATCACAAAATTCTCAATTGGTTAGATGTAATGGACCTACGTTTCGTGTTTCTTTTTTGGCATTTACCAGTAAGGTGCACTGGTCTCCTTTGGGAATGAAATCCAACCTCTTAAAGTCCCCTGCCTTCAGAAGAGACGTATTAGCTGTGGTCAACCTCGAACCGCACCATCTTTTTCCTACACTCGGCTGATCGACTTAGAGGGAGTGGTATGCTTTTTACTGGAAAGTCTAAGGCATTGGTGGCACCCTTCTTATGTTTTAGTCTGAAGGCATCCAGCAGATAAATCCATTAGGGGGAGGAGACCTCTGATTCTTGTTTTCCTTTTGGGAGATGAACGTTGTAGTAGTTGATCTTTACTTCGTGTTCAAGGGTCAAACGAAATTTAAGCGTGTGATTATTAAACCGCATTAGCTTGCTTGTCAAAGTTTCATATACCACAGCATATGGTCTCCTCCCAATCAATGTGGAGTAGTGATGGCACGCTTAAGAACATTTTGTTATCTGAGATGAGAGATTTTGGCGGCAGCTTGTGGTAATTAAGCTGATGGCGCCGGTTTCTTCAGTCTGAAAATAGGCTTAGTGCACTTTTGGAGAAGTATAGTCTGAGCACTAATAAATTCTTGACGGGGAGATGGTGACTGGGAACGGCGTCTGCGGCGACTTCTCGGGAGTGGCGGTCGTGAGAGTCGTTGTGTGTGCTGCTGTCAAGAAACCGTCTTTGTGTCCAGCCTTATTGCAGTCTTCGCATCAGTGTTCCTTATATGAACACGATTTAACGGAATGCGAAGCACCATATACCTGCAGGATGATGGAGTTTTCTTCTCAGGACATCTATCGGTATTGTGTGAGTAACTGGGACAATGGACAGTTGAGGTACTACCAGAGAGTGTTTGACCATTGGTTAATGCAAACATCTAAGAGGTCTTGCGAATTACATCGAATTCAGTACCACCATAGCGTCCATATTGGACTAAATCTGTTGTTAGAGAAATTTGTCCTACTTCAAAAGATCCAGAATCTCAGTCTCCACCTTGATATTTTTTAAAAACTTTGCGATCGAAGAGGAATGCCAAGCTGGACACAGATGCGGTGATCACTACATATCGCCTAGCTGAGCCACCAAGATTGACCACACAACGACGTGAGACGGCAAATGACCAACGATGTAGATATAAGAAAGGCTATACATGGCCAACACAAAGAAAATATAAACATGCTACTGGTTGCTAGAAAGTAACCAGTCAGTGTATTAATCACAGTCCTAAAGGAGATCAATCGTCAGTTCTAAAAACCTTAATGGTAATGCTCCTGGCTGCAACGTTGGATGAAGCGGGCTCGACTCTTCCTCTCATTCATTTCCATCAAGGCTGAGGATAGGCACCTTGCTGATCAGTGACAGTAGCCGTATATCCACTAGACTTATGAATGAAAAAACAAAAGTCCTATAAACATCAGTAAATACAGATGATAGGGCACTTATTTTTTTCAAAGAAAGACTAAGTACACATATATACATGAGAACCCTGGTGGGTTCGTACTGCTGAATAATCCCAAACTAGGACGGAGCAGATGTTCAGTACTCCCTGCAGGTTTTCCAATGGTTCACTAACAGACGTCAGTTCATTATGAAATTCTCCAACCAGTTCTGTCTGATGCTCACTAGCGATTGGCCCTATTTAGGCAGCTAACCTGGGGTTCTAGTGGGAAGCCGTGATTAGTAGGGTGCAGCAGGTTGCAGGTAAGGCAGTAACTCACTGAAGAAGACATTACTAAGTTGTTGCACTATGTCGTGAATTGTCAGAAGTTAGAATTCATGGGTCGGCTATTGGATCAGTTGTGCGTCAGTGGCCTAATGATCGAGGACCTCACTTGGTTTGTAACCGGAAGGTCCTGGGTTCGAAGCCCCGCAGTGGGGTGGGTGCGTACTGGTGACGAGTCTCAAACTAGACTGAGGAAACAGCTGGTTGTCCAGTACTCCCGGATGGTTTTCCAATGGTACTCCAACTAATGTTAGCTCATGATGAAATCCTTCAACCAATCAAACAAAATCTCCCAACAAACTAATACTTAAAAAATTAGAAATATGTGAATGTGAGAATTTTTAGGAGGTCAAATTTTAAATAAGATAAGAAAATACGATAAATGCACTCTCGTCAAAAAAATAAATAAAACGTGTTATCAACACGGAATACAGAAGACTTTAAGAAGTTTTATCAATAATAATATGATAAGATCGAAACCATGGTAACACAAGAGATAGAGCTAAATGTTTTTTTGTAGCGCAAGGGTTTATCTTTACTGTTTGCATATTAACAGGTTTTCCACCAATGAAAGTGTTGATGCATAAGAGAATTAAATTAAAATCTTATATTTTGCAAGTTTTACTGTGACCTACCTTTTTTATAAGCATATTTACAGACACAACAACCTTTCTTGCTGTGTATTATCCACTGAATGTACTTACTGAATTCATATTCCTCTCAGACATTGTTTTCTCCAGAGAACTTTTGACTCTAAGCCTCATTCATATTTGAATTCAGTTTTGTAATTATGTTGATTTATCACTTCTATGATGAATTCAATGTTAGGGCAATAACCACGCTTATTAGTTTGATCTGATACTTGCTAGTGATTGGCTTCAGGACAAGACTGACCGGAGTTTTAGTGAGAAGTCATGACCAGTGGGGTCTAATATGCCAAAAGTAAGGTCAAATACTTGCCGAAGATATTATCTTATGCTTGCTCTAAAATCACGAATTCGTTGGCTATTGGGATGGGTTCTAGTGGATGAGCTTGGTCTACGGAAGATCCTTGGTGTTAAGCTCGTCAGGTGCATACTACGGAAGAGTCTGAAGCTGGAGAGAAACAGCTCTCCAGTAATCTAGTGCTGGTTCACAATGGTTCTCTAACCGGCCGTCGTCGGTCCGTGGGCAATTATGTCAGTCTGAAAATGTTTTTCGATCTAAACCAGTGTTTGTTTAGTGCATATTTTCCGACTGATAACTGTTACTTTGGTGTGATGCTTGCTCTTGCTTATCCCCATGAAACATAGAGTTACACGGACTGAAACGAATGTTCTTTCACGTCCTACTGTGTCGAAAAGTCACTTAGATAGCGGTCAAATTGGAAGCGGAAACCATTATTATGTATATGTTGTTTACACTGTATTTACGGTTGGACAGTAAGGTCCTACTGGTAGCGAATAGGTAAGATTTTCCTCTAAGACTAACAGCAAGCCTCGACATTTCTACATTCCAACCTCCTCTCTGGCAGTTCACAACTTGCGGTATGCTCTTCAAAAAGAAGAACTTCAAAAGCCAGTTTAAAAAGGTCGTGTAATTATCCTTAGGCGGTTATACTTGAACTCTGCGGCCACGCTTAAGTCACGTTATGTTGTTAACCTCATCCCTATAGCAAACGTATGATTTTTCTACTGTAATCGCCTATAC